AAGCCACAAGAGAGGAGTACTCTGGGAGGATTGAATCCGCTAAATAACAGCAAAACCTTAACATGATGTTTATATATGAGAGGCTGATGAAAAGTTCTTGGTCTACCGAAGATTAAGGATTAAAAAAAAAAAAAAAAAAATGTTTGGTCATTTGGCCAGGTATTGGGACATGGGCTGGTTTGAGAACTTTTCAGCATCATCTTCTAGATTGTAATGGGTCAAGGACCTCTTGTTGAACTAATCCTCTTCTCTGGTCAATCTTTAAGGAAACATTTTGCGCTTCGCTTTTTGATGACATATCAATCAAGATCACGGTTTATTTTGCAGAATATCAGATTGATACAAAAAGAGCTGCAAACAAAATGCAATAAGAAATCCCAGGTAGGTTTATTAAATAAATACATCAAAATTTATTTACTCAGTGACACAGTAAATTCTGGCAGTAGGGGGAATGATAATGGTTGGATTTGAGTCTGCAAAAACTGAATGATTATTTACTGTATAAATAAATAAATATGATTAAACACTAAAATAATATTCAGTTGATGAGTATTTCTTTTGTCTTATTTCTCTTGCTTTATTCACACCAAGTAGTAATAAGATGTAATAGTTTTAAGTTGTCTGAATTTCTTAGATGAAACATTGTCTATTATTAGTAATCCTAGACTAGTATTTCTTTCATCTTATTCCTGCTGTTTCTATCAATGCAACCTTTAACAGCTGTGATAAAAATCAAATGAAAAAAAATGAATAACTTGTGATTAAAAAATTTTGAAGACTATTACATCTAATATTACTAGGGCAATAAGCAAACATTGTGGCTATATGAACATCATCTCCAAGTGATGTTTTCTTAGCACAATTGTTAAGGCATTGCCACAGAAATGATGCAAGTTCAAATCTCACTGGAGGTTTTGTTCCTGATCCATAGGCATTTAACACCCATAGAACAAATTTAACTTATTGTTTAATGAGGTGATCCTTACAGGAAAAAATGGTTCTTTTAGACTTTAGATGAGAAGGGTTGATTTTACTTTAGACATTTAAAACATTTCTGGGAGCAGGGGAACATTTTTGGTTAAACACATTTGGCAATTTGGAAAGGTTTTGGCACTCTGAATATTGTACATTGAAAATGTAAAGAAAAGGGATTGTCAGTGGCTAAAAATGAATCCCACTGTTACTGATAGGACAGGACTATGTACAATATATAAACATTTACTCTAGAAACTCATTTAAACAATTTCACTGTAGAAATGTATAGCAAACCAGAAAAAAAAAATGTAGTCAAGCCTTCCTTTACAAGAGGGTGCTTAAAAAGTTGTTTAAAACCAATATTTCAATGATAAAACATTACAATACTGATTTATAGAGAGCTTATTTAATAAGCTGTTGCATAAATCTTCAATACAATCCTCCATATTAACATTTCCATGTGGGGTGGGTTGACAGATTGTAGACCTTACAAATTGCCTTCTTCAGGATAGCAATCTGGCAAAATTGTGTCTGACATGAAAGTACATGTGAAACAAAGATGGTTCATTAAATTCCTCCATGCAGAAAAAAAAAAATTGCACTCTTTGACATTCATCAATGCTTGTTGAATATTCACAGAGACCAAATAGTGTATGTGAGCACAGTTAGGTAATCAGTAATACATTTCACCAGTGGCAACAGCAATGTGTGTAGAAAGCAATGTTTTGATTAGGGTTGATTAAAAAGCTGGCCACTTCAGAGGATTGACACCATCTCTTCCTTCACTTCAAGCTATATTTAAAAAATATTTGACAAGAAAAAAAAGGAAGCAATTTCCAAATAACTTGATTCAAATTTTGCAAGCCTTAATTATGTAAAAAAAGTAGACATTTATTTTCATTGTTAATATATAAATGGCATTATCTGCTGTAGTAAAACTGAAAACTGACAAATCAAAAATTTAACAACTGAAAAATGTTTAAAAAATTATTTTTCAATTCAAATTACCATATTTCAAGGGAAATAATACCTCCCTACAATTTCAGTAGGTAAAAAAAAAAAAAAAAAAACATTGGGGTATGCATTTGTTGATGCCATTAAGTCACAGGTTCAAATGATTTCAAATCCAATGCCACAAGTCCAACACAATCACTGAATCTTTCCCACATAATGCTCATGCCAGAAAAAAAAAAAAAAAAAAAAAAAAATACGTCCCAACCACCAGAAATGGTTTGCTTTTATAGCTCTTGGAGTGTATAAATAACTTAGATGAATGGGAACCATCAAAAAATTTCAATTTGTTTCTAGGTACCCAGATAACGCTAACCATAATGAAAGTGAAAAAAAAAAAAAAAAAAAAAAAAAAAAAACATCAAGCAGCCTTATTCTATTCCATGTTCCACTGTTATAATTACAGCATCTCCTTTCCTTTATGAACATGTGTAGTTACATCAATGTAAACATCACTTTAGTCCAAAAGGATAAAATGTGTCATATGAAAATCTTTTCCCACTTTGTCATTCATTTTCCTAACATGTTACACTGTGTAATTCTTTTTTATTACCAAGCATTGTAAACAGGTTAAAATGTCAGTTGGGAATCTGGCTTCAATATAAGATTGATATTTTAAACCTTTTGACTGACATCAGTGACCTTACTACAACTATTACATTGTACACAGGTCATGCCTACATAATCACAATGATAAATCAATATGACATCAATTCAGAGAAATGGAATATTCTATTTTTGTGAGCAACTTTCACATTTTTTTGTCCAGACTCCTTTAAAATTAGATTAGGTATAGCAATTTGATACACAAAAATAATCTTGTAGTATTTCACTAACAAACCAGGTTTTCTCTGAAATATGAAATTTTCAAAATTAGTAGATGGTTATTAGTAATACAACCCAACCACCAGAAATGGTTTGTTTTTTGTTTTTTTTAGTTCTCAGTGTGAAAACAAAATGGATGAACAGCAACCATTAAAAAATTATGGCACTTCAGTCTGTTTCTTTGAATATTGATAGTTAACATAATGAAGGTTGTAAAGTATCAAGTGAGTTTCATCAGCCAGCAATGACTGATGTGGAGTCTTTTTTGCTGCTGGTTGCAATATTCATTTCTTCTGTGATTGCTACAGCATTTAGGGCTGTTAAAATAATTAAAAATATTATCTAAATAAATAAATAAAAATACAATCGTGGACAAAACATGCTACTATAACAGAAAAATTTATTTTAATAACATGCTTCAAGGCCACCAAATATGGCCCTTAAGCTCACTGTCAAGTCACTTCCCATTTGTAGAATTTAGTTGTAATTATTTGTAAATAAATAAAAACTACTCCAAAATTAGCCAGACTAATGATTTTTAAAGTTAGCTTTACTTCTACTGATCATTAATCAGCAGGAGTTCAGCATCAAATAATTTTTGTAGATACATGATAAAAAACAAAAATATTTTTGTTATAAAGTGTGTAAATGGTCATAATGGAAGAGGAAAAATGAAAAAGATTATTAATTAAAATTAGTAAATTTTCTAAAATAAAGATATCATAATTTTATGTGGCAATTAATAATTTTAATTTTCTTTTTTTTCTCTTTTTCAATGTTGATGGGATTTTCTTTTTAGCTTACAAAAATCAGATCATTATCATCAGGGTGAGCAATGTTGACCACATACTGTTAAATTACAAACTGAACTGGAAACGGCTTTTTTCTTCAAGTTAGGAATGCTCTGGCAAAAATCTTGCTATAAAGTGCCATTTTTGCTGTGTTATGGTAACAAACATCCGCACAAACAGAAATCAGATCATTTTTATGAAAATTTCTGAAAGAATGGATAAAAAAAAATAATCTGAGTTGGGCCAAGAACTTTCCAGTATCTATTGTAGTTAAAAAAAAAAAAAAAAAAAAAAAAATGGTTCCTGAAACTTCAGCATTTCGGAAGACCCAAGGAGTATTTTTGAGACATTTTTAGAAAAAAAATGTAAGTCTTATATGCCACCAAATAGCATAAATAATGATTTTTTATATTTTGAACATAATTTTTCATAGATAATATTTCTATAATAACGTAGCAAAACAAATGAGTTTAAATTTTGAAAAGTGCATCAGAATCAAAGAGTTTCATAATTAAGGTTTAATTATGCAAGAGATACAAAGTTTGGAATGTCCAGTAAAGAGAGAGAACTGGATGATACAAGAGGCAAGAAAGCCAGGTGAGCTACAGTAAGTGAAATGATAGATAAAAATCACCCTGAAGCTTTATCAGTCTGCTCAGAGAAACAGCTTCAGGTTTTGTTTTAAAAACAGTTTTTTTTTTTATTTTGGTTATTCTTGAAGAAGTCAAAAAGGCAATAGATTGAGATGAACATGAATGGTCAGTTTTGCAGCCAATTCAAACATCGGCTTTTAAGGTTTGCTTTCTTGCATAATTGAGGCTTTGAAATTAAACTTTGATTTTTTTTTTTCAAAGTTTTTCAATTTTTGTTTACGCAATGAACAGAATTTATCCTGGTGCAACAGGAAATATATAGGAAATGAATGCAGATTTTTTTCATTCATGGAGGTTTTCTTTCTTTTTTTCCTATTTTTTTTAATCCATGATTTTAAAATGGCTGCCAACAATACACACGACATGTTTATAAATATTTTGTACATTTATCCTCAACATTTTCTTTTCAACATAAAATGGAAAAGAATGCATCAAACTAAAGGTGAAATATAATTTACCAAAACCACACACACGCCCGCGTGCACACAGAGAGAGAAGGAGAGAGATAAGTTATTGGCAGCTGTAAAACAGCAGAACATGAAAACCAAAATTGCCTATCATCTTTTTCTTTAAAACTTAAGAATTTCTTGTTGGGCAATTAGTTGAACATGTTTGATGGTAATCTTCACTGACAGACAAAATATAATGGGCATTTTATAGCCAATAAGATATATTTGGAAGGATATAATTGGCCAATAAAATGCTTTATGAGTCCCTGTCCATAGACAAAAGTTCTTTCAGGAGGTCATCCATCTAAAGGAGGCCCTAAGTAAACCATAGAGACTTCAGTTTTGCCATAGACTGCAGAAACGGCTGGATATAAAAGAGTATTTGGTAAACCACGGAATGCAACACCTGAAAATTTAAAAATAAGAGTGTAAATAATCATGTTAAAAATAAAAGCATAATATCCTCACCAAACTAAATTACAATTTATGAACTTTTTTAATACTGAAAATATTTTCCATTTTTTTTTAAAACAGTTCACAAGTAATAATCATTAAGACTTATATAAGTCAAACTGAAGAATTATATAAAAGATTTTTTGATACTATGTGCCAGGTGTCAGCAATAGTTACTCAAGCAGGGTTTCTCTACAAATTGATTCTAAATATTAGATTTGATATTTAATCTACAAAACTTGTCACTTGAAAATCAAGTTGCAATGTCAATATGGGACTCAAAACTTAACTATATGATATTTAACCAGAAATTAGGAGAATGGATCCAGTTACAAAAAATAAGATGAGAGGAAATAGTTTTATCCAGACTCTGAATAGGACATATACATCTGAAACATTCACATCTACTAAAAAAATGAAACTATCCCATCATGCAACAGATGTCAAGTACCTCTCACAAAACCAAGGATTTGAGGACTTGTAAATATGAACTTTTGTCCTTGTTGTAGTGTGAGAACCCACCCAACAAAAAGTATTTTTGATACACCCATATATATATATATATATATATATATATATATATATATATATATATATATATATATAAAGCAGCCACTCATATCCAAGGATGCCAGTCCACTAGGGCGGCTAGCTAATCCCCATTGCAGGTTCATTTGTGTTTGTTCAACACCCACAGAGCCCACCTGTGGTTTATACTGCAAGTTTCTGAGTTTTCTAGTGTGATCAACAGTCTGAACAAGGCTAGCACACTCAAACCTTCAGTCATGATGACTTGTGACATTGTGCGGGCACAACCTCCAAGGGTGCCCAAGTGTTCCATCTACCAAATTTCACTCAAAAGGCTTAGTGGTATGGTTTTCATGCTGGGATCACCTCCTCCAGACCAATAATATCAAGGAGTCACCTTCCTGACAAATTGACACTGGTGAGATTTGAACCTAGGTCTCATGGTCAGAAAGTGAACATTCTAACCACTCAGCCACGTACCCATATATATATATATATATATATATATATATATATATATATATATATATATATATATTATATACACACTATGAAAACCTGTTGAACATGTTGAGTAAATTTCCATATTTTAGAATTGTTGATGTAACAGTTTTGAAAAGCAGCAAATGGCTAGCATGAAGTTACTCATAATGAACGACTTTATTTATTTATTCAATTCCATGTTACACTGTGTAATTCTGTTTAATGATTAAATGCCTGAGTATTATAAAGAGGTTGAACGTCACAGTTGGGTATTAGATTTCAATATAAGATTGATATTGTAAACCTTTTGACTAGCATCAGTGACTTTACTAAACTATTACATTGTACTCAGTTCATGCCCAGATAATCAAATTAACCACAATGATAAATCAATACAACAATGATTCAGAAAAAAATGAAATATTTCAATTTTTGTGAACAACTTTCACATTTCTTGTTGACACTCTAAAATTAGACAGATTACACCTAAAAACATGGCAATTTGATATATAAAAATAATCTTTTAGTATTTCGCTAAGAAATTTTACTGATATTGATGCCTAACTCATGACAAGTCACTGAGTCACTTATCAAAATATTGTCTTGCAAGTTAAAAAGTTTCAAGCAGAGCTTCTGATCAACTTTTCACCATCATCTTGGAACCATCACAAAAACTTCAGAATAATTTGCAAAACTGGCAACACAAATGTAAATAAAAGTTTATATGAAATTTACAAAATAATAGAAACAGATTGAAGAAAAAAAATTGACTTACCAAGAAATTCATAATTTTTTTCAAAGGCTAAAGTATTATCTTCACAGTCCAATATAACCCGTATTCTCTCTCCAACCTAACAATATAAAAAGATTGTAAGGATAGAGAAATGGGATTTGGGATGGAAACAAGATTTTTTTTTAATATAAGAGATAAACAATTTAGAAAAAAAAATTTTTTTTTTTTTTTTTTTTTTTTTACAAAAGACATTTTTATAAAATGTATTTGATGATAAATGCTTAATTTAAAATGTATTTATAATTATATAAATGATATAGTTTTACAAAGTATACATTTTAAATCAAATATAATTTGATATTATTTTGACTAAATTTCTTAGCTGAAGTTTTGTTATTTTAATTCATCTGGACCAGTTATTCTGTTAAAGCCACTGTACCCTGACATTTCTCAGGGTTTTGCTACAATCTATAATCTGCTGGTAATGTCAAATTCTTAATTTAAACCACAAATGAAGGATTTCTTGAAATTCCCTTGAAATAATACCAAACACAAGTAAAAGAATGAGAATAATATTGTCTCATGGATTAAATAAGGAGTTCCATTTGACACTGATGAGGATAAAAGTATGAATGAATCAGTGTATAATAATAATAATTCCTCATCTCAGAAATTTGGATAGAAATTACAAAATTTATCTAAAACAAAAAGAAAAAGCCAATTTTCAGAATCCACCTCAAAATCATAGACAATAAAAAATTTGATGACCATGTTATTCACAATGGAAAAGTAAACTACATCAGCAAATGTACACTTCAGCTTGGTTGTCCAGTTTACTCACTATTGAATTCTGGGAATAAAATAGTGCTGCTCATCTTACAATTTCTTTTGTGAAGTACATTGTTTTTCTTTACCTAATTAGAGGATGATGAAGATGCCAGTTATTGTCTCTCATAATCTGAAACATTTTGAATTTATACTGTCAATAAGCAACTGAAATAATTTAAAAAAAAAAAAAAGAAAAAAAAAAAAGACATTTTCACATAAGTTTAAAAACTTTTTATCAATACTCATATTTTTTGTTTTGTTTTAAATTATTATTTTACAATTTTTGCCATTATTTATAACTTAAAATAATTTAATAAATTTTGTATTTGGATTGAGTTGGTTAATTTTATCATGTCATGATTTTATCCTTGTGTTATTTAATATCTAATATTGACATCAGTCTATTTAAAAAAAAAATTATACAGAGTCTGTTAAAAAGTATATACACACTTCAGGAAAGAACAAAAACCTGTCTTTCATAGTTTTATCAAATTGTGATAATATTGTTTACTGTAGTGTGATATTTTCTTGACAGATAGCTTTACCCTCATGATAGCATCAAAAAGTCCTAAAGGATGTTGTGTATCACAGAAAACCAACTACATTGGTGACCCTTAAACAAGAAATTGAAAATGCATGTGCAACTGGACACTTTGGCCAACGTTATCCAAGCATTCGTTCATCGTATTAATAAATATCTGGAAGCTAAAGGCCACCATTTTAAGCATCTCTTGTGATAGAGTTCAAAGGTAACTTGTATTAATCCAGTAGTCTGAATAAATTCAATATTACAAGTTTTCTTTTTCTGAAGTGTATATGCATTTTGTTGGTGGACTCTGTAGTTATGACTGTAAGAATTTAATTGACATAATACCCCACTTTCTTTTTAGGAGAGTAGTCTTATTCCTTGTGCAGCATATTCTCAGCCTCACTGAGAGTATATTCTTGTGTTTGCAAAATTAAACTATCTGGTTTATATGTTGTCATTTATGTATCATACTTCTTGGCATTGTTCAAAAAATTAAGAAAAAAAAAAGATGTCTGAAAAATTTACCCTGCATTGTAAAGATCAGTGTTCTTTTGTTTAATTTATTTATTTCATTTTTCCCCAATTTTGACTTTCAAAATTGGAATGCATCTTTGAATTGAGGAAATAAATCTATTGTAATTTTGATGCATTTAATGATTTTTACAAATCTCACTGTATTTATTTTCATAAGAGATTATGGGATTAACATTTATATCTCATGAAATGAGAATCAGTTTTACTGAAATTGGTGCAGTTTTTTTTTTGTCTTTTGTAATAACTTAAATACTTAATTCTATTCATAAGAAACATGTAATAATCACCTAAGTGACATTTAAAACATTAAAAACAATTTCCAATTACATATTACTTGTGGTTATAAAAATTAAAACAGGATCTAAACAGTTAAATGATACACAATTTCTAATTAGCTTTGTGCTATTATAATTTGATTCCAAAATTCTTTTTGATTAACAAGGAAGTAATTCAAGCATATAAATTATTTTTTTCAAATGCCAAATCACTTCGGGATGTAAGTGATCATGGCTCTCCAATATTCCTGTTCTGAGGGGGGAGGGTTAATCTTCAAATCTTTTTGGCAATTTATCAGGAGTTTTAAAGACGACATTAAACAAGTATCTCAATCCTTCTTTCATCAGATCTAAAGCGTCAGCTTTAAAAATTAAAGGAATGAATTGGATGTTGTATTGTGATGGTGTAGGTATGTAATTCAAAATAAATCCAGTTCTCTGCTATTGAGTAAGAAACATTCACCTGCAGACGCTACAGAAAATCTAAAAGCAATTGACAGGCAATATCTAAATTCACTCAGTGAACACCTAAAATAGATTTTTAGCACATATTCAGGTGAATAAGTGCAGTACCCTCCTCCCATCTGTTACTTTAATTGATTCCCCCACTGAAATAAAAAGTAAAATTTACTTAATGACCCTCCCCTAATGAAAGAGTAGGAAGGTTAACAATTTGGACATACCAAAGAAAAAATAAAGTGTTTGTTTTAAGTGAAAAGGTGATTAAAGTAAAACAAATCACATACTGAAGGTCAAGAGCTATGGTACTATGAACAAATCTTGGCACACAAATTTTATTACAGTATATTACCACGAGTATTCTATTTTATTATTACTTATGTTTTATAAATTAGATTATCATGTGTGTATGTATTATTACTGTATATTATCATGAATGTTCTATTTCATTATTACTTATTGTTTTCAATCTCTTATAGTACCTGTTTTATAAGTTAGATTATCAGAAGTATGTATGTATATAGGAAAAAACATGGTATATATAGGTTTTGTGATTTCTTCTGATGGGATCTTTGAACATAACCCAAGGCACCAGCTTATATTGCCTTGATATAACCGCAACAGATAAGGGGAGAGTATTGTAATTTAATTCAGAATATAACTTTTTTTACCTTCATTTTCTGAATTGCAGTGAATTAAGGAAAAAAGTATTTAATTGCAAAGAAGGATAATAACATTAGGACTATTTTCAGTACATTTTTATACTTTAAAAAATTTAGATAAAAAAAAAAATTAGTTTAAATCCCCGTTATTGATAAAATAATGATATTCAAACATACAAGTTATTTTTAAAGAGTTTTTGAAAAAAAATTGACTGCTCTAGGTATATTTATTTCATTGCAAGGAGATCAAACAGTCCCCTCTTAACACGGTTATACCCTGCAAAAATTATAATTTAAATAAAAATGATATCAACCCCCCCCCACATTCCACTCATAACAAGATTTGAATTTAGAAAATATTTTAAAATCTGGTGTCAAGTTTACAGTTAGCCAATCAAATGCCATGTGCTACTGCTTCTCATTGATAAAAAAAAAAGACAAGATAACAATGAATAGTCAATCATTGATAAGGGAATGAGAGAAAGTAAAAATGATTGAAACAGAGAAATGAAACATCGTTTTGAAAGTAAAACCAGACATTAAGATCCGATTATGGTGCACTTTTGGCTCTTCGTATAGAGTAAGTATTCTAGTCTAGCAGACCATCCCTATTGGATAGGGAGTTTGATCCTCACACACTTTGACTTATTTTATGCAAGTTGAGTAAAATACTTATAAAATCCAAGAGTGACCAAAACAAAGGAAAAATCTAACAATTCTTTGGTTTGTGTGAAGCTGTGACACATAACCATTGCAAGCTTTGTTCAGACAACTCCTTTGTGACGTATGGAGATCCAATGAAAAACTTTAAATTATTGAAAGAAAAATAAGACTAGAGATTGAAGAGACCTTTACTGTCAGCAACAGCTGGTTTTCCTTCTTTCAAAAGTTGCCCACGAACAGGATATTGGTACATAATAATGAAAGGAGTCTAAGTAATTCAAACAGGTGATTATTACTGTATTACAACACTCGCCAAGTACTTATTGGAAGATACATCTTACTTTGTCATAAAAAAAAGGAAATATTAATTGCTGTCAAGAAGAGGCAATGCAGAAGAGAACATAATGCTGAAATCTTGTCTTCTTCTTCTTAGTCATTGTTGTTAAGAGTATTTTAGCATGATTTGAAATAATGTGTAACTAACAGTTTTTTGCAAGAACAAACATCAATTCATCCATTATCACAGTGCATTTGATACTGCTGGATGCTCCACTACTGTGGCCTTGTGCCAGACAAAGCAAAATATCTTGGCATTTCATGGTGTGATGATTAGCAAAATCAACTGAGACAGTTTGATCTTCTTATAAATTTGATTAATTAAAAATGTTCAAATCCTGATTCTTTCTTCTTACCTTTCTTTTAGTGAAAAATTGAAAATAACGTGCTCATTGGAGAATCCGATACTCTCTAAAATTAGCATTTTTCTAGCATTTATATATTTTTAAGAAATTTATTTACATGTATTGTAACATTAACAATGTATATTATACATCTTTTAAGTTGATGAATGCTTAATATCGAAGTTAAATGAATATAAAATTAAACCACTGACTTTTATTTTAAAATCAAGCACATCAAAATATTGTAGGGAAAAAAGACAAATTTATTTTAACTCCTTAAATTCTACAGTTTAGTAATTTTTCTAGCAGAAGAAAAATATTTGATTTTTAAAGTGAGAGTATCGAAAAGTCAGTAAAACTATTAAAAACTATTCTTTATTTGAAATGTGTAGGTTACTTCAGTTTTACAAGTTATTTTATTCATCGAATTAAATGTTTAGGGTTTTATTAAAAAAAAACTCAATGTGGTAAATGTTTTTTTTTTTTTATCAATGGAGTCATTTTTTTTATTTTGATAAGAATACCGTGATAAAAATCCGATGAAGTATTAAATTAAAGAGAAAATTCATCAAGACAATTACATAAAAAAGAAATGCAATATAACCCATACTTTCTTCACCTTCTTATGTATTTTTTCTTCAGTAGTGCCACAAAAAAAGTTAGATATTGCCTGTTGTTGTGACTCGTATCTACCGCACTTACCTGATATTTTGGTGCATTATTTAACAAAGGATAATTTCCCTGATTGTCGCCGTTGTGTAACAAGAGATTATCGACAAGATTCCAGCCCCAACTATGGGTATCACTGCCTAAAAGAGAGACGTAACCATGACACTGCATCGCAGCTTCTTTTGTAGCTAAACCAATGACAGCCACTGTGCCCAACGGACCTTCCCACCAAACTTCCCAACAATGGCGACCAGTTCGAAAACCTAACTTGCTTCGGGCCCCATCCGTACTTTGGGCTATTGGGTTTCTGTGTAAAGTAAAACCGTTGTGTTTGACATAGATATTCCGAGAGCAATCATTTGGATTCCATGCGTGGTAGAAGGCACGAAGCTTGGCTTTGTAGGTCGGCACGTTGGATAACACATCCGACTTGAGAGCCTCCTCCGCCAGTTTCCTTACGCAGTGAAATCTCCAAACGTCATTGTCCTCATCGTTGAGAAATTTATACCAACTTTTGCAGACCAGTGAACAATGACGCAGGTCTGCTATGTCCAGATACGAGAACACAACTTCGAGGACAGATGAGGGTAATCTCGCAGCGGCGGCCATCTTACATGAGACGACGGATTTGTCGAAAACCTGGAATGGTATTTAATATGGGAATGGCAGCACCGATCCGGGCCAAACATATGAATCGCTTGTTTCTCGGTATTGCTTTTTAAGAACTTCATAAATCTAGTCTCATTTTGTTAGGATAAAGTGTAATTTTTTCTTATATACGAAAGAAAATAGCTTAAAAATTCGACATGTTCTAAATTATTCAGTGATATAGAGATGTACATGAATGAAACTGAAAGAAAACAAGTAGTGAAAGTAGACAGCGCACACACACATACATTTTTTTTACACATGCACACGTGTATGTATATATGACCTGTGTGTGTGTGATAATTTTGAAAAAAAATTAACTTGATGTATTTCGGCAATAATATGGAGCAATCCATGTGTGTGTAATTTTTCAGGAGTACAGAGAAAAATATATGAATGCAAATAAATTGTGTAACACAGTGATTAGCAACTATAAAAGATTGCACAAAATAAAACAAAAAATAAAATACAAAGTCTTAGCATAAAAAGTCTCTTTTTCTATAAATTTTTATTTTAAAATAAACTATTTCAGTATTAAATAATATCTAGATATCTCATTTTATAACTTGTTAGAATACCTTAAAAAAAATTTCAACCAAAAAAAAAGCTTTAGAAAGAAATTAAAGAAATACATCTATCTGTTCCACTTTTATGGAAGCCTATCTTTTAAAAGGACGCTTAATGGCATAACCATATAGAGAGTAACCCAGGGCAGTGCAAAAATCATGTCACACAAATTTAATTTGAGCCTAGAGATGCTCCATTTATCATGATGATGAAAGACCTGATACAACCAATCCTCAAAGGAAATTGACTCGACTGATAGCCAGATAAGAAAGAATGTTCTGTAATTCAACCTTTATTAATACATTATTTCTTATTACTATTCCCAAATAAACTCAAATACTTAGGCTACTTTGAAAGTATTTTATTTCAGGGATTTTAATCCTACAAGTTAAATTCGTATAAAAATATATTTTCTTCCTTACATGCAAAAGAAAAGAACATTACCAAAGGATTTTAATGGTAAATTTCTCTTTATCAAACTGTTTGAATTATAAAAATCAAATAATGATTGTAAGAAAATAAATTTGTGATATATTGATATAATTTTTTTTCTGTTTTGCCATCCAACCACAAATATTCAAGTTTCAACCCAAGGCCTATTTCTCAAACTTAACAGATATATATCAAGGACACAAAAGCTAGTGACCTTCTTCCACTTAAAAAACAACAGCTCAGTCAAAATGTGGTAATTGTCCTGCTAAAATTCACACCTATAAGATAATTTTGTTAATTGATATAAGAATCTCTGAAATTCGCTGAAATAAATCTTTCATTGCTTTGTCTTTATTATGATCAATGAATGGACTTTGTAGTTATTTTCTTAGCTTTGAGGAAAAAATATTATTCATGTTATTAAAATTTAAAAGATGATATTATTTATGTCATTAAAATAATATGTTAGGTCACTCTACAAGTGCTACTGGTACCATATAAGCTAGTCCTACCTGCTGCATAGTTGGGTCATTGGTAACTAAATTAATTTTCAGACTATGCTTTTCTGGTGAGGAGGGTGATAAGATACTCAGCAGGATTAAAAACAAGACCTGCCAAAGGACGACTAAACCTAGTTGTAGAACAATGGGATATCTATAGCTATGTGTGATTAATAGCCAGGACAGAAGAATTCCTCCAATAGAATCAACAGCCACATTTCTACGACCAAAGTGAAACTTCAAGTTAAAGGACATTGTGGAGAGGGATGGGATCCACCAGGTCTATATACTCTTGCTAAGCATGAACGAATACCTCTCTGGCTTTTATGTGGAGGGTACTGGTCAGGTGCTCATTTGTGCAGTGACCCTACAACCACATCTGGTCATGGGATTGATGATGATGATGATGATGATGGTGGTGGTAGTGGTGATGATGATGATGATGATGAAAAAGAAGAATTTTCTACTTTCCAATCATCTAAATTACATTTTCATGAGCATGTTCATAAGTATCTTTAATTTCATAAACATTTCACCTTTCTTTAAACAAAATATATTTATTAAACATTCCTTGTAAAAAAAAAAAATCAATACCTGTTTTTAATAAATAAAAAGAATCTTCCCTCAACTGATTTTGTATATTAGTAATATTTACTAAGCTTTGCTTTGTATGGCACAAGGTTAAATTGGGAAATTGGAACATTGTACCACATTAATGTTTTAGATAGGGAGAGCTTGTTTATGTAGAAAATCAGCATTCAAAGTCAAAGTGTTTTTAAATGGGTGACCACTTGGGTATACCAGGTGGTGTAAGATTGGATGTGCAGGTGGTGTAATGGATAATGGCTTGGAATTGTTAATTGGAGAGAGTGGAGTTCTAATTCCCATTGGGTTCATTATATTCACTTACATGCAAATATCCTTGGGAAAGGTAGGAATCTGTAAAGCAAAAATAGAAATAAATACCAAGACACCAAATGACAAAAAATATTTTCTGAGTCAAAGGATTCACACATCCTTCCAGTTAATAAATTAATCCTTTGAAAATAAATATTTAACATTTTTCAACCAATGGGTTGTGTTTCTGACAACAATAAAAAGAAACATGTTTCGTGATCCCTTTGAAGAGTATATAAGCAAAGTCATTAAGACCAGACAAGTCAGTAAGGAGATACATGTGACAACAGTTCACCACAATGATGGCTTTAAAGAGATTCCCTTATTCATTCACCCATCTTCCCCACCAAGCTATGTGATACTTACACTTTCCTTCTCACTTTCTCTCTTGCTTCTTTTTTCTCACGCATACACGTGAAGAAATCACATTTCTTTTCATCTTAACAAATGGCTACAAGCAAGGACTTAAAAGACTTTAATACTCATACATGCTAAGAAAAATTTAGTTGTAAGAACATGAAAATAAAATTTTTTATATTTTTATATATTTACACACATTTCTGGCCTTTTACTTTGTTGTAGGTTGACTCAACTCCACAACAAATCTACCTCTTCTCCCCTCAGCTATGGGTTAATTATTAAGAGTTGTATCACAAGTCATTATTCTCTCAAAAAAAAACAAATTCCTATATTCTAAAACAGAATATATTTAAGTAGGGTTGATAAGACATAGAAAACAATAACCAATAAACAATAATTATATATTATTACATAATTATATATTATTACATAAAACAAATACATAATATTTTATATTATTTAAAGATGAGTTAGAAAATAGCCATCTTGTTTGATGACTATTTTCATGACTTATTCATGGATAAATATCCAAAGAATTAATGCTAGAAAGTAATTAGCAACAAAAATTAAAACTAAAACATTTTCCAAAATATAAGGCAAGAAATTCTTTTTCTCCAAAAATGATGACTGCATAAGATCAACTTCACTAATTTTAATATTAAAATTAGAATAATTCTATGGAGGTTATATTTAAGAAACCTTTCTATATAATTTAACCACATTAATGTTCTTTCCAAACTTATATGGAGCAAAAATAAAACATATGAATAAATTGTTATCATTTAAAGGGTTATTCAATTTTTTTTGTTGTTACTGGAACATTTCAACTGATCCATTCTATGACCTTCTTTAAGTGTATAATCTATATAGAAAGTGACATGGTATTTTTTTTCTTGTCATTACAAACAGAAAATGGTATCATACAGAATATCTGATCAGTAAATATACTGCCATTTTTTCTCTGTATTAATGGCTGTTTCTAAAAAAAATGAACACAAGATAATGATTTTTACATTTTCCATTGCTTTCATTGTTATTTTTAAGAATTTTTTTTTAACTTAGATTAAAAAAGTAAATATATGACAGGTTTATTATTAATGTTGACATTACTGAAACAAATATTTTAACATTTTATATGCATATCTTATTTCAAAATACATCATATCACTTTTTGACTCACTTCAAAATTCTTTGTTATTTTCAATATTATTTATTCAGGTTTTTCTTTTAAGAAAATAACTCTTGTGATAGTAATAAGAATTTGTAGACTCGTCCTTTTTTTCCTTACCTTTCAACCCTAGCAACGGAACAGTCTATATCTTACGCCTACTTACGGAAAACTTCAACCAATTAAAACTGCACTAAGCGAAACAAACAATCTCATTGGTTCATCACTGAAAGTTCACGTGCATAACGAAATTGCGCCAAAACTCAAGTGAGCCACCTTCGGACTTTCAGGCCTTATAAAAATAAACGCTGACCGCCCCAGACCCACAGAGAACTTGCCATCCCCCCACAGACAATACTTTGTACATAAGGGGATTATTTAGGTTTTTTCATGGAGTCAAAGAGGCATTTTGGTGTTTGTTGTAAGAAAGGTATGGATAAATGTGTTGTTTTGGTGAAAGGATTATTGTTCTGTATGATAGGGTCAGTGATTGTGGCTAGCTAAGTTTTAGTCTAAGACAAGTGATGACCGTCCTTTACCCCAACCCCCTTTTCGGCCTTGTGCCACATTTGTACTTATGTGCAATAAATAATCAGAGAACTTGCCAAAATACTCCACGTCACGATTTAACCGCGCAGAGATACATCATCGCTGACTCATTCCCGATCGAAAACTGAATCAACTCTGTGGATATCAATTCTCAACATTGCTTATCTAAAGTGAATTATATTCGCTACCTATTAAGTAAACATCAACGTGCGAACGACCTTAAAAAAAACATTACATTACAGTTAAAGGTAAATCACTCTAAAAAAAACTCCTAAAAGAGACACTTAATATCGACAATTATTAATATCAACACAAACTTAAAAAGACTGTAAATGAACGAACAATTACAAAGAGAGACATTCTGAAATCAAAAAACCTCATACACATTTCGCCAACATAACGTATATCAATTATCCTGTTTGTATATTGCTTTGAATTGTATATAAATGTTATATTAATTTCTAATTGAATATGTCTCGTTCTTAATC